AGTTTGCACTTTCATCTATCAAGAGCCCTCGGATCCATGTACAACAGTAGTCACTAATACCTAGAAGGTCAACCCTTACTGTGGTCTCAAAGCACATCAATCCGTGGACGAATCCTTCAAGCGCATGCCCTGTCTAGCAAAAGAAGAAAAAGAAGGATGCAGCAAATGGTGTAATGGTTACATCACTGGACATCCACTTAACCAACCACGGTTTGAGTCCTGGACCTGGTGGCTTAAAACTCATGCTGTGTACATGAGTGCCCCAAATCCTGAGGAGAATGGAGAAGAAGGCCTTGCAGCGTGGCCATGTCCCCTGGGCAGGGGGGATTTCTTGATTTTGGTCTCTCTGTCTCTCAGGCGAGTGCATGCACCCTATAGCATAAATACCTCGTTTTAAAAATAAGGGCCCAGACAGTGGTGCAGCAGTTATGCAATGCTCTTCAAGACTGACCCAGGAACCAGCAGTTAGCATAATGGCTATGTCGCTGGACTCCCATGTAGTCGACCACAGTTCGAGTCCCGGACCCGGTGGCTTAAACTCACGCCAGGCGTGTGTGCAAACGTGCCCACGGTCCTGAGAGTAGAATGGAGGAGAAGAGATTGCAATGTGGCCATCCCCCTGGGGGGTTATTTCTCGCTTTCTGTCTCTCTGTCTCTATCTTTCTGGCAAGCGCAAACACCCTATAGCAAAAGCCTCTCCAAAAAAAAAGAAAAAAAAAAAAAAAGAATACTGACCCACATGGGAAGCTTCCAAGTTTGCACTGGGAAACCATCCTGAACAAGTTGGGCATATGTCCATGCTCTGAGCTGGCTGAAGCTGAGGGTCACACTGTGAGGACCCAGTTGGGGTGCTTTCAGTCTCTGTTTCTCACTCATAGGAAATATAAATAAATAAATACAAATTCATAGTCTTTCCTTATGCGCTTTCCTCAGGACCCAAGCAAACAGGATGTAGTGACAATGGAAACTAGGCGTGGGGCTGAAGACTTGAGAAACAAAGGAATGACCTTAAACGGGCATTCACAAGAAGTGACACAGATTCAGCTGGGGAAGGAGGCTGGTCAGAAAAAGCTTTTTAAGCCTCTATAGAAAGTTTCAGCCAGAAAGTAAGAATTTTTGAGTGAACTGAATCACCCAGTAACACTATACACAACACTGCTCTAATCTATTATACATAGCAAAATTAATTTTATAGTGTCGGTGGAAATATTAGATGACAATAACTGTTAAGTTTTTAAAAGTCTACTAGTATAGCTGGCAGGTGGCATGGTAGTTGGAGGCCCTGAACTCCCACATGGCCAACTATGGTTTGGGTCCTGGACCTAGTGGCTTGCTTTCTCACTTTCCCTTCCTCTGTCTCTCTCTGACCAAACTGAAAAATAATGATGATGATAAATAAAGTTAAATAAAATAATTCTTTTTTAAAAAAGCCTACTAGGGGAACCAGCAGTTAGCGTAATGGCTATGTCGCTGGACTCCCACGTAGTCGACCGTGGTTTGCGTTCTGGACCCGGTGGCTTAAAACTCAACGCCGGGCGCGTGTGTGTGCGTGCCCAAGATCCCGAGAGGAGAATGGAGGAGAAGGGATTGCGGCGTGACCATCCCCCCTGGGGGGTGATTTCTCGCTTTCTGTCTCTCTGTCTCTGTCTGTCTGGCGAGCACACACACCGTATAGCGAAAAAAAAAAAAAAAGCCTACTAGTAAATAATCAAGACACATTTTTAATAAATTATTAAAGGACATTGGTGAGGTAGAGAGTGGATATTTTGTGCAAGTAATTGTTCTGTGCCTTGGGTTGGGAATTTGGGCAGGTCCCATGATGTCTGTTCCAGTCACTGTTATATGATGACAGTCCTGAGGCCACTTTAAGTGACATCATTTCAGCTCTGTGACTGGAACAAGCTCAGAGTCATTAAATAATATTTCACCTTTCCATCTCCACTCAAAGATCATACTTCTCTTTGTCCCTACTATTACAACCCTATACAAAGGCCTTGTCAGAAGCTGCCTGCATTCCAGAAAGGAGACATGAGAAGTTTCTGCTTTCCACTTATTCCCTCAAATAATTGGTGCAACTTAACCCCACACAGGCCAAAGCCAGGATGCTAAGAAAGGCTTTGAGTCCTATGAGTTTGACAGGTAATTAAAGTGGGTCTTTGAAAAGTATCACCACTGATGACTTCTATGGTTCTCATGACTCTGGTCATTTCATTTTATACCAGATTGTCCACTCATGACAAGTTCCACACACTTTGCAAGTTCCACATCACCTGCTTCTTGTTTCTGGGGCCGCTCCTCCCCATTTGTAAAGGAGTCACTGAACCCACTCTGATGCTGTTCCACTTAGCTCAGGTGATTCTGAAACTCTCCCACAACCTTTACCTATCCAGCTCGGGAGTGCAGACTGATTCCAAGACAGCCACCTCCCTCCTGTGACCTCCACGTTCTTTGGTTTCAGCAGTCAGGTCTGGACCCCAGAGTGTCTGTGAATACATTTTTAAAGTTCTCTGAGTGCTTCACTAAGTTTGATGTGAAGGAGGTTACATCCCTCTACTCTTGTCCACTTGAAGACATTTCTCTTCAAAAATATTTCTATAAAACATTTCTTTCCTCTACATTCTGGTTTGAGGTCTCAGAGTCATGGACTTGGCTCTTAGGTCCTTTGGAAAATACACACACACAAGGGAGAATCTGTCATCTCAAAGACTTTGGTATATAGTATCTACTGTCGAAACTAAGGTAGGATACATTTTATTTTAGCAGCTTCTTACCATCCTTATACATTAGCTATCAGCACTTCTTTTTCTTCCATATTTTTATTACTATAGTAAAATACACATAAAATAAAATCATCTTAACCATGTTTGAGGCTACAGTTGAGTGGTATAAAATGCACTCCTGATATACAACTGTCCTGCCATCCATCTCCATAACTCTTTTCATCTTGTAAAATTGAAGCTGTGTACCCAGTAAATAATAGCTCCCTATTTCTGTCCTTGCAACCACCATTCTACTACTGTCTCTATGATTATGACTACTCTAAGAACTTCACTGAAGTAGAATCATAGAATATTTGACTTTTTGTGACTGGCTTACTTCACTTAACATGATGACCCCAAGATTCATTCATATTGTAGCACACTGCAAAACTTCATTTCTTTCTATGATTGAATAATAATCTTCCATTGTATGGATATACTATATTTTTCTTATTCATTCATCCATTAATAGACACTTGTGTTGATTCCACCTTTTAGATATTATGAATAATGCTTCTATGGATATGGGTATACAAATAGCTCTTTAAGATTCTGCTTTCAATTCTTTGGGCTATAATTACTAGATCATGTGACAATTCTATTTTATTTTTTTTGAAGAATCATAACACAATTTTCAACAACACCTGCACTGATTTACCATTCTCACCAACAATGCGCAGGATTCCAATTTCTCTACACCCTTGCTAACACTTATTATTTTGTTTTTGTTTGTTTGTTTGTTTTTGATAACAGTTATCCTTGTATGTGTGTAGTAGCACTTAATTATAGTTTTGATTTGTATTTCCCTAATTATTAGTAATGTCGAACTTTTTTTTATGTGTTTCTTAGTCACTTGTATATCTTTTTTGGAGAAAGGCTCTATGCAAGTTTTTTTGCACATTTTTAAATCAGGTCATTTGCTTTTGTTGCTGTAGAGTTTTAGGTGTCTCCTATATGTTTTTGGATGTTAATCCATTATTAGATTCATGATTTGCAAATATGTTCTCTCATTCTGTG